TTTCGCAAGAAGATAGTTTCTCTCCATGATTTGTATTATAGAGCCACGTAAGGATAAGGGTGGGAAAGGTTACAACTTGTTGCAAGGAGCTTCTCTTGATTTAGATAGACTTGATTTGAATCACCACCATAGATAGTTCAGGGTCCTATTTTCTACGTTTTTCTTTTCAGTCATTAATAATTATGTTGTATATACGATATTGTTGGGGGTAACATAAATACAAGAGAGAGAAAACATTTGCTTAAAATGATGCTCGTAAGGAGGTTAGTCTAGTAACAAACAGTTAAAACTGGTTGTATGTTAATGTTTCGTCACCAAAATGCAGGGGAAAATCGCAACATAAAGAAATGCTAATGGATCCTTTGAAAATGTGGCAAAGTTCATGTTTGGGAGCGACATTAACAGATTAAAATTCGATTCATGTAGAGGTTAAGAGCAGACTGAATTCCGGTAATGCTTGCTACAATTCAGTTCAGAAACGTTTGACTTCTGTCTGCTGACTAAAAACAAAGATTAAACAAAACTATAATTTTGCTTGTATCTTTGCAAGGGCGTGAAACTTCGTCTGTAACACTATGGAAATTAGATTGGCGGTGTTTGAGAATAGGGTGCTTAGGAAAATATTTGGACTAAGCAGGATGAATTACTAGGCTGGAGAAAGTTGCACAGTGATTTAGGTGGGAGAATAATAGTAAAATGGACCATGGAGAAATAGGCATGGGTTGGTATGGACTGGATTTATTTTGCTTAGGATAAGTACTAGTGGTAGCCTTTTGTGAACACTGCAACAAACCTTTAGGTTCCATAAAATGTTTGTAGCTGAGTGACTGTTGGCTGCTCAGGATGGACTTGGTTCCATAGAGTAACTTTAAATATGTCGGTCCAACAAATATTTATTGAGTTTTCTATGCAAAATATCTCAGGAAACTTCCGAAAATTAGGTTCCACATGGTAAAAGTGTATATCGAAAAACTCCGATTGAGAAAACAGAAATTTCAGCTTCTGTGCCAGGTATCCGAGTGGCTTCTACAAATACAGATCACTGAAGAGACCTATAATTTATTTGGACAAAACCTATGTACATACTTCCCATATTGTTGGATCCTGCTGGCAATCTCCAGACAAAGTGGCAAGGACTAAGCTAATTACTGTATACATAGAAGAGACAGGCAGGTTTTATTAGTATTCAGGTCAAGTCAGAAGTCTGGTGACTATACAATGATATGAACTTAACATATTTTAGCAGGTGGAAAACTTTTGGCCAATCTACCTCAATATTCTGTTATGATGAGCAGAACATTATTGTATTCACATGAACAAAAAACCAACTGCTGTGATGCAAAAAAGAAAAAGACATAACAAAGTGGCTTGCAGATAGCAATGTTGCTTGTGAGGGGAATTTGCTAAAGGCAGAATTACTTGAATTAGTGAAGATGATGCTAAATAAAAAGAACTATCAAAATGATGAGATGATTAGAGCTCAGGGACATGATGTTGAGCACATTCCTCCATACTATGCAGAACCTGAATCCAACTGAACTTGTGTGGACTAACATAAAAGGCGACGTGTCAAAAGATCTGTCATATAACTATAAATGCAAAAAGGGTTTATGTTGAAGAGTTCTTTGCAAAATCACTATACAGAAGTGGTTAAACTGCTGTAAGCATATCAAAAAATCAAACAGTCATACTGGTGGTCTAATGCACTGATGGAAGAAACTAGAGACAGGATCATTGTTACATGAAGAATTGATTCTTATTCTAGTGACAATGTGGGTAACACCAGTTCTTCAGAATGAGACTAGTGTAATGACCTGCCTTCTAGTTCCTCCCAGCTTTATCACGTACACAGCAGGTCTTTTTCTAAGTTGTGTAATTACACATAAAATGTTCACATGTATTTGCATGTGTGAAATGTAGGAGCAAGAGGAACGTCAAATTTTGACTTGTCCAGCATACAAAATTTAGCATTATGCTAATACACGTCATGTATATGCTGTACATGTTAATCTGAAAGAGTATGACATCTGACCTCAGTATTTGGATACTGAGGATCACTACCACTAGAAACCAGGGCTGTGGAGTCAGTGCACAAAACCTCCGACTCCAGCTCCTCAATTTTTAAATCTCCGACTCCTTCATCAAACCTCAATATGTATTAATAATGGTAAATCTATTAAAATGGTAAATAGTACCATAAGATATATTTCATCACCACGTGAATTATCACGCTACTTTTTAGACTTACAACCTATATTTAAAGATTATTGCAGAAATCAGTTGATTTGTAGACAGTCTGAATTCTTAAGGTACCGGAGCCAAGTTACAAAGCATTATTCCTACACCATGTGGCTCAACGCGTCATTGAATCTCTCTAAGCGTGAGGCAGCCGGCAGCTCACATGGTAGCAAAAGTATTAAAATAGTATTTTCTTAAGATTTTATATCGAGGTCGGAGTCGGTACATTTTTACCGACTCCACCTAAAATTGCTTCCGACTCCACAGCCCTGCTAGAAAGTACAGAAATTTTGGAATTTTCCAAATTCAGTAAACACACGTTAGA